AGGTACAAACAAGCCCAGACTTGGAAGACTACAATAAATACATAACTCTTTAATGCTCAGACACAGAAAAACATCCAACAGTACGAATAGTGTCCTGGAAAAGATGACCTCACCAAATGAACCAAATAAGACACCAGAGACCAATCCTAGAGAAACAGAGCTATGTGTCCCTTCAGACAGAGAAATCAAAATAGCTGTTTAGAGAAAACTCAAAGAAATTCACGATAACACAGGGAAGGAATTTAGAATTCTATCAGATAATTTTAAGAAACAGAAATAATTAAAAAGAATCCAGCAGAAATTCTGGAGCTCAAAAATGCAACTAACATATTGAAGAATACATCAGAGTCCTTTAAGAGCAGAAATGATCAAGCAGAAGCTAGAATTAGTGAGACTGAAGACAGGCTATTCATAAACAGTCAGAGGAAACAAAAGAAAAAAGAAAAAAAAAAAAACAATGAAGCAGGCCTACAGGATCTAGAAAATAGCCTCAAAAGGACAAATCTAAGAGTTACTGGCCTTAAAGAGGAGATAGAGAAAGAGATAGGGGTAGAGTGTATTCAAAAGATAGTCAACAGAGAATTTCCCAAACTTAGAGAAAGGTATCAATATCCAAGCACAAGAAGGTTATAAAACACTATGCAGATTTAACCCAAAGAAGATTACCTCAAGGCATAATCAAACTCCCAAAGGTCAAGGATTTAAAAAAAGGATCCTGAAAACAAGAGAAAAGAAATATAACACACAATGTAGCTCCAATACACCCAGCAGCAGACTTTTCAGTGGAAACGTTACAGGACAGTAACATGACATATTTAAAGTGCTAAAGGAAAAAAAAAATTTTTACCCTAGAATGGTATATCTGAGGAAAATATCCTTCAAACATGAAGGAGAAATAAAAACTTTCCCAGACAAACAAAATCTGAGGAATTTCATCAACACCAGACCTGTCCTACAAGAAATGCTAAAGAGAATGCTTCAATCAGGAATAGGACATTAACGAGCAATAAAAACTCATCTGAAAGCACAAAACTCATCGCTAATGGTAAGTATGCAGTAAAACACAGAATATAATGCTTAATGGTGCTGTGTAAACTACTCTTAAATAGAAAGACTAAACAATGAACCAATCAAAAATAATAACCACAACAACTTTTCAAGATACAGATGGTACAATAAGATATAAATAGAAACAATAAAAAGTTAAAAAGCAGGAGATGAAGTTAAACTAAAGGTTAACTTGATAGAATGTAGAGTTTTTATTAGTTTTCCTTTGCTTGTTTGTTTATGCAAACAGTGTTGTTATCGGTTTAAAACAACAAGTTATAAGGTAGTATTTACAAGCATCATGGTAACTTCAAATCAAAAAACAAAATAAATACACACACAAAAATTGTTTTTAATTAAATCATATCACCAAAGAAAATCACCTTCACTAAAAAGACAAAAGGAAGGAAGACTACAAAACAACCAAAGAACAAATAACAAAATGGCAGGAGTAAGTCCTTATTTATCAGTAATAGCATTCAATATAAACAGACTAAACTCTCCAATCAAAAGGCATAGAATGGCTTAAGAGATTTAAAAAAATAGTAAGATCCCATGATCAGCTGCCTAAAAGAAACACACTTCACCTATAATGATACACAAAGACTGAAAATAAAAGGATGGAAAAAGATAATCCATGCCAATGGAAACCAAAAAGAGCAGGAGTCATTATACTAATATCAGACAAAATAGATTTCAAGACAAAAACTGTAAGAAAAGACAAATAAGGTTACTAATGATAAAGGGGTCGATATAGCAAGAAGATATAACAATTGTAAATATATATGCACCCAACACTGGAGTACCCAGGTATATAAAGCAAATATTAGTAGGGCCAAAAATAGAGATAAACTCCAACACAGTAACAGCTGAAGATTTCAACAACCCACTTTCAGCAATGGACAAATCTTCCTGACAGGAAATCAGCAAAGAAACATCAGACTTAATCTGCACTACAGACAAAATGGGCCTAATTTATAGAACAGCTCATTCAATGGCTACAGATACACATTCTTCTCCCGAGCACGTGGATGATTGTCAAGGATAGACTTTAGGTTAAGTCACAAAACAAGTCTTAAATCATTAAAAAAAAAAAAAAAAAAAAAAAAAACCTGAAATAATATCAAGCATCTTTTCTGGCCACAATGGAGTAAAACTAGAAATCAATAACAAGAGGAATTTTGGAAACTATACAAATACATGGAAATTAAACAATATGCTCCTGAATGACCAGTGGGGTCAATGAAGAAATTAAAAAAGAAATTTTAAAATTTCTTGGAAAAAACCATACCCAAACCCATGGGATACACTGAAAGCAGTACTAAAAGGAAAGTTTATAGCAATAAGCATCTACAACAAAAAGTAGAAAAACTTCAAAGAAACAATCCAATGATACACTTAAAGAACTAGAAAAGCAAGAGCAAACCAAACCCAAAATTAGCAGAAGAAAAGAAATAATAAAGATCAGGGCAGATATAAATGAAATTGAAATGAAGAGAACAATACAAAACAACTAGGAAACAAGTTGGTTTTCTGAAAAGTTAAACAAAACTGACAAACCCTTAGTCAGACTAGCTAGGAAAAAAGAGAGAAGACCCAAATAAAATCAAAGATGAAAAAGGAGACATTACAATTGATACAGCAGAAATTCAAAAGGTCATTAGTAGCTACTATGAGCAACTCTATGCCAATAAATTGGAAAATTTAGAAGAAATGGACCAATTCTTAGACACATACAACCAACCAAGATTGAACCATGAAGAAATTCAAAATCTAAATGGACTAATAACAAACAAGGAGATTGGAGCTATAATACAAAGGCTTCCAGCAAAACAAAACAACAAAACAAAACAAAACAAAAAGCAAAAGCTCAGGACCCAGTGGCTTCACTGCTGAATTCTACCAAACATTTAAAGAACTAATACCAATTATCAGGGAAATGCAAATCAAAACCACAATGTAATTCCACCTTACTCCTGCAAGAATGGCCATAATTTAAAAAAATAGTAGATGTTGGCATGGATGTGGTGAAAGGGAACACTTTTACACTGCTGGTGGGAATGTAAACTAGTACAACCACTATGGAAAACAGCTGGAGATTCCTTAAAGAACTAGAAGTGTATCTACCATTTGATCGAGCAGTCCCACTACTGGCACACACACGTTTATAGCAGCACAATTTGCGATTGCAAAAATAAAGAACAGTCCAAATGCCCATGAATCAACAAGTGGATAAGAAAATGTGTGTGTGTATATATATATGTATACATACACACACACTGTGGAATACTACTTAGCCATAAAAAGGAATGAAATAATGGCATTCGAACCAACCTGGATAGAACTGGAGACCATTATTCTACGCAAAGCAACTCAAGAATTGAAAACCAAACATCATATGTTTATAAGTGTAAGCTAAGCTATGAGGACGCAAAGGCATAAGAATGATACAATGGACATTGGGGACTTGTGGGGAAGGGTAAAAGGAGGGTGATAAAAGATATCTTTTGGATAAAAGCCTTTTTAACTGGAAATGGTGGGTAGGGTAGAAGTGGTGATGGTTACTGGGTACAAAAACTAATTTGAAAGAATGAAGAAGACCTAGTATTTGCCAGTACAACAGGGTGATAGAGTAAAAAAATAATTTAATTGTTCATTTAAAAATAACTAAATGAGTAAATTGGATTGTTTGAAACACAAAGGGTAAACACTTGAGGTAATGGATACCCTATTTACCCTGATGCGACTACAATGCATTGCATGCTTGTATCAAAATACGTCATGTGGCCAGGTGCAGTGGCTCATGTCTGTAATCTCAGCACTTTGGGAGGCCAAGGCAGGAGGATCACTTGAGCTCACGAGTTCCAGACCAGCCTGGGCAACATGGTGAAACCCTGTCTCTACAAAAAAAACTCCAAAATTATCCTGTGTGGTGGCATATGCCTGTAGTCCTGGCTACTTGGGAAGCTGAGGCAGGAGAATCACTTGACACCGGAAGGCAGAGGTTACAGTGAGCCGAGATCACGCCATTGCACTCCAGCCTGGGTGATGGAAGTGAAACTCCGTCTTTAAAAAAAAAAAAAAAGCTCATGTAACCCATAAATATATTCATCTACTATGTACCCAGAAAAATTAGAAATTAAACTTTTTTTAAAAACCAGGCTGGGCATGGTGGCTTATGCCTGTAATCCCAGTACTTTGGGAGGCTGAGGCAGGCAGATCACTTGAGGTCAGGTGTTCGAGACCAGCCTGACCAACATGGGGAAACCTTGTGTCTACTAAAAACACACACACAAAAAATAGCCAGGTGTGGTAGTGAGCACCTGTAATCCCAGCTACTAAGGAGGCTGAGGCAGGAGAATTACTTGAACCCAGGAGGTGGAGGTTGCCGAGAGCTGAGATCGCAGCAACAGAGTGAGACCCATCTCAAAAACAAAACAAAAAAACCCATGTAAATAATAAGAATAGTAACTAACATTTGTTGAATGCTTACCAAGGGCTAAACATTGTACACAAAGCACTGTCAAATCATGTCTCATTCAGTCCTCACAGTAACTGTCTGCAGCAGATGCTACTATGAGCTACATTTTACGCATGCGGAAACTGAAGAACAGAGAAGTTAACCTACACTCAGTAAGAAATCAACCAACGATTTGAAGCTGGGCAGGCTGACCTTCCAGAATACACATGCTTTATAACACATGTCACCCTGGATTAAGCATGTGAACTGAACTTTGGCCACACTAGTCACGGCAAGACGTAGACTTTTAGCAATGGACTCAAAATGCTGTATGCATAATGACTGAACAATAAAACAGAACAATCCAGTGAATCCTCAGCTCACAAATCACCAAGCCCTGTACCAGCAAAAAATGGAAAAATGTGTATTAACATATAGTATCTTTGATCTAGATTTTATTTCAAGTATCATCCTTATTATAAAACATACTCACAAACATTTCCAGTAGTGCATCTGTTACTATTTGAACTATGTCTTCTGCACGGGTGATAGCTAGTGGGATGCTCTCTATTTTGCCTTCTGTGTGTCTGGCAAGCAGAAGGGCTGGAAGACTTGCAGCATATTTGTTTGACCTATGGAGAAAGGTTAGTATTAAAATTCATGATCAAAATCTAGCATGTCAAAAACATGAAAATCTAGGCTAGGAGATCACAGTGCAAGGCAGCAAATGGGAAGTCCTACTGCTAAGGAAAAAAATGAACTCAATTTCCAAACAAACTTATCTTCTATGACAACCTACATTAAAAGAAAGCAACAGGTAATAATCTATAACAAACTAGATTTTTTAAAAGCAACAAGGCAGTAATCCAGCCAGATTTTTTTCTATACAACTTACTCAACAAGAAAATAAATCAGATTTGGAACACAGTGAATGGTTCTCGACCTTTCTGGACTTGCTCACCACACTGCTGAGTAAGAAAATGGGCATTTATGAGAAACCTACTATCTGCCAGGCACTATACTAGGTATTTCAATTATGTTTTTATTTAACTTTCAGAACTAAAGTGGTCATTATGATCTCACTTTGCAGATGAGGAAATAGGACTTAGAGAGTGATAAACGGCAGACACAGACTTCAAATGAGGTGTCCCTGACACACAGTCTGTTCCTGACATAGTCTGTACTCTCTCCACTGAAACAAGAGCCCAAATCCACCCTCCCACAATCCCTTTCACTAACTAAACCTAAAAGAAAATTATCTAAATAGGAAGAAAGCTTTGTGTAAAATTACTAGTGAAGTAGTCACGTATAATAACTTAATTCACGCCAGAACAAAGTATAGACATTATAATAACGTAAGCATTAGTTGAGAGGCCAGTTTTCAGATCACTTAAAGGAACCTCTTAGTCGACCAGCTGGTTATAAACAAAACACTGAAAACTACTGGTCTAAGTTTTTGGACCACAGCTAAATGCACAATGACAGCAGAGTAGAAGATCGTGGGTGATTACCCATTGTCAGATGGACAGTCCTCATATTTCCTTCTTCAATATATACTTTAAGAAAATCAGTGATTTCACATATAGAACAAAAGCCTGATCACCAAGAGCATATGTCACCAGTGTTCAAGATGGAAGATTTAAGCTTAGATATCACAATTAGGAATTTGTAGTCAGAAGCTAAGACAGACCAACTACTGGGGCTTAGTATGTACACCTATACCTGAAAATGGGCCATAGAGAATGTGATGTGTATTAATAATAATCTCCAAATTTGCAGTTCAGTCCTTCATACTATAGCAACTAAAATATTTTGGTAGTCTATAGAAGTCCCATCTTCTAGAGATAACGTAATTTAAGAGGCTAAAAAAGCACTGATTTTTATACACACACACACACACCCACTCACCCACCCAGGGGGTAAATAAAAACTCAGATGCTCAAAAAGTAAAATTTATCCCAAATTATGATAACTCCAAAGAACCACATTGTAGGTAACAGAACCCAAAGAGTAAAATTTTTAGAGGAGGATGGTGAAGTACGAATCCAAGATTGTCCCATGGGGGCTTTGGTCTAAAGTAAAAGAATATCTAAAGAATCTATGGTACTTCCCAGGTACTTTATTTCCTAGAAGGAAATAAAAAAAATTTCTTTAGATTGCTATCTTATTTTCCTCCATCAGCTGTGTAAATATAAGCAATTATTAGATAACACTATTTTGCATAATTTCTTCTTCCCTAAAATTAAAAGAACAATAAACTTACAGTAGCAAAACATCTTCTTCAGAATAAATTCCAGTGATAGCATATCCTTTTAGGTCGTTTCCTGCTTCACTAAAATCTTCTTTTGCTATAAATACATAGAGAAGACAGAAATCTGAAACCTTTATAATTGTGTATGCTATTCAACTGATGAAGAGATTTATAGATGGTAGTATTCCATTATTAATTAATTACAAATATAAATATTTAAGTGCAGAAGACTTATATAATTTAGTGGTTCCAAAATAAATCTGTATTCTCTTTATGGCATGGGATTACTAAAGAAATGTCAATTGATAGAATGCAACATGGTTTCCAAAACAAATGTACTTTAAATGCAATTTATAAGATTTATAGCACTCTAATCATAGTTACTGAATAAATACTTCTTGCCTTTTAATTTACTCCTATGGCAGAGTAAATGGAGACAGCTGTCTTATGTGTAGCCTGAAAAGAGAAGTAGGTATGTAAAATGACATGCAGATTATAACCATAAAATCTAAAAGTATCTATATGCATAAAAAAACAGAAGACTGAAAATTCTAGCCCTCTAACAGTGTCTGTGTTAGGGTTGTGCAATTATAAGGGATTCTGTGTCTTTTAAATAAACAATTCCTACATTTTCTCTAATGTGTTTTCATTAGTTTTGAACTTTAATTTGTATTGTCTTTTCTCATTTGTTAGAATGTACATATTCAAAATACAAACTATTTCTATAAATTTCTGAATACATTTTCATAAATAATAGCATACTCTAGATCTTGTTAATAATGACTATCCTATAACCAAGAAGCAAGTCTGAATTAAATCATTGTAGACTAATGAGAAAAGCACAGAGGTGGACTTATAGGTCAAATTCTTGCCAAGTGAAGGCCAAATGATAGTTCAATTCATACATGAAAGATTCATAGCAGTCAAATAGAAAAATACCGATGGAAGAATGAGTCACACAGCACCTACTAGGCTAGGCATGCTGAACCCAAAGATCTGTACCTCAGCAGTCAGCACTACATTCATGATGTAAGCATTCAACATTGTCAACATCGGGTAACCACAAGATTATTTTCTTTAAAAAGGGTACATACTTTCCATAAGATTGAGCAATACTGTCTGTAGGAAAGAAAACTTTAGAGTAGCTCAGTAGGCAGCACGGGGAACTCATTTACAATCACAGCTTTAATGAGAAAACAGGCCAGGTGCGGTAGCTCACACCTGTAATCCCAGCACTCTGGGAGGCAAGGTGGGTGGATCACTTGAGGACAGGAGTTTGAGATCAGCCCGGCCAACATGGTGAAACCCTGTCTCTACTAAAATACAAAAACTAGCTGGGCATGGTGGCATGTGCCTGTAGTCCCAGCTACTCAGGAGGCTGAGGCATGAGAATCGCTTGAATTTGGGAGAAGGAGAATGCAGTGAGCCGAGATCGTGCCACTGCACTCCAGCCTGGGCGACAGAGAGAGACTCCGTCTCAAAAAAATATATATATATATTTTAGCCCATGCTACATCAAAGTAGAAAAGACTCATAAGATTATAAACTAGAAATGACTGGGTGTCTGTACTTTCATTTCTAAGAGAAAACAGAGTGAAATTCCAGTCAATAGATAAACTATATCTAAAGCAATGACATAACAGAATCTGTTTCAGCTTCATTTTAGGTAAGTAGCAGTAGAAAAGTACACCATTATTTCCATATAATTTCCTCATACAAAAGACTCTCTACTTATGAATATGTCTCTTGAAAAGTCTCTTCATAAATCCATGTGTTTGTAAATCCTAAGTGACTCACAGGATGGAAAAATCTATGACTGTAGATCTCAGATGCATATTCATTTCCACTAAACTAGAATACATATTTTCCTCTGAACATTAAAAACCAGGCATATTCTCCTCCTTGCTAAAAACTGCATATATGTCAAAATATATGGCAACCTCAAATACAAGAAAGTACTCAATTATCTAAATAAAAAGATGCATAAAAAGCTTTTCAGCTACTATATATTTTAATTGCATAAAATAAACACATTTATTTAGCAATATTGATTTTTTCTATCACATCTTATTGAATAATTATTTTTATAGACACACATATATACATATATCTGTTTTTTACCTCTGTCAGCAGGGAGAGTTGAGAACCAAGAAAACCTCAGTAACTAAAAGCACTCCTAACCCGTATATTATACAAACTAGATAAAAGAGATGGATAAACTCCTGGACACATACACCCTACCAAGACTGAACCAGGAAGAAATTGATTCCCTGAACAGACCAATAACAAGTTCCGAAATTGAATCAGTAATAAATAGCCTACCAACCAAAAAAAAGCCCAGGACCTGATGGATTCACAGCCAAATTCTACCAGACGTACAAAGAAGAGCTGATACCATTCCTACTGAAACTATTCCCAAAAATTAAGGAGGAGGGACTCCTCCCCAGCTCATTCTATGAGGCCAGCATCATCCTGATACCATAACCTGGCAGAGACACAACAAAAGAAGAAAACTTCAGGCCACTATTCCTGATCAACATTGAAAGTCCTCAACAAAGTACATGCAAACTAAATCCAGTGGCACATCAAAAAGCTAATCTACCACAATCAAGTAGGCTTCATCCCTGGGATGCAAGGTTAGTTCAACATATGCAAATCAATAAATGTGATTTATCACATAAACAGAACTAAAGACAAAAATCACGATTATCTCAATAGATTCAGAGAAGGCCTTCAATGAAATACCCCTTCATGTTAAAAACTCTCAATAATACTAGGCACTGAAGAAACACACCTCAATAAGAGCCATCAATGACAAACCCACAGTCAACATCATACTGAATGGGCAAACGTTGGAAGCAATCCCCTTCAAAACTGGCACAAGACAAGGACGCCCTCTTTCACCACTCTCATCCAACACAGTATTGAAAGTCCTAGCTGGAGAAATCAGGCAAGAGAAAGAAAAAAAGAGCATCCAGGCTGGGCGCAGTGGCTCACGCCTGTAACCTCAGCACTTTGGGAGGCCGAGATGGGAGGATAATGTGAGCTCAGGAGTTTGAGACCAGCCTGGGTAACATGGCTAAACCCCAGCTCTACTAACAATACAAAAATTAGATCTCTGAAAGGAGAATTATAAAACGCTGTTCAAAGAAATCAGAGAAAACACAAATAAACAGAAAAACATCCCAAGCTCATGAATGGGAAGAAACAGTATCATTAAAATGGCCATACTGCCCAAAGCAATCTACAGATTCAATGCTATTCCTATCAAACTACCAATGATATTTTTCACAGAACTAGAAAAAAAGTATTTTAAAAATCGTATGAAACTCAAAGAAGGTTAAACATTATTTTTTGACAGTGTTTTTCACGTAATTTTACATAATAAATAAACCTGTTCATTCTCTCTCTTTTGGATGCTGCAGGCGCCCTCTGTAACGTTTCAAAGTCAGTTTGAGGTCAAAAAGACTTAATTTTAAACTTGATTTTGGGAAGCCTATTAAATATGTCAAAAGTCTAAACCACTTATCAAAATAGATCACAGGTCGCTGTAAAATAAATCATTTGTTTAACCAAAGTGATAATTAAAAGGTTTTAAAAAGCAAACAACTTCATTTGTTGATTAAAAAAGGACTCAGTTTTTAAAAACAATTAAAGGACCTAATAAAGATAGAATATGTCTCCTCTTTCTCTCTTTTTTGAGAGTTTATTCAAAAGGTGAATAAAAGTGTTTTATTCTCTTATTACATGAAATTTATGTGCAAAAGAGAAAACTAAATTTTTGTTCTTGTATTAGTGTATGATCAATTCTAAAGCTGATTTTAATAAAAACTTATAAACAAATCTCATTTCAGTCAGCTTTTAATAACACAAGATTTTAAAATAAACTTTTTGTAATCTCATAAAAATTTTGAAGTTTTCTTTAACTTTCTACAATTTATTTAATCTCTATCTTTTTTATTCTTTTAATTTGAAACAATCTTTAAGTAACTTCTAAACTAAATTTTTTCCTCACATTTTTATGCCTTTATAACTTTCCTCACCAAAAATATATCTTGCTTTTTTAATAGACTCTTTATTTACAATTCTCTTACATTTAATAGTTTTAATTATATTAACTATAATTTTGACTCTTAGTAACCCAAAATCTAGCAAAAACCTAGAAATTAATTTTGAACTGTTTTATATCAATATTTATAGATGAAAATCATTTTATAATTTTTAGAAATATATTTTAATTTTATTAACAAATATATTTAGCTTTTTTATATCATGTAAAAATAAGATGTCAAAGTACATAAACAAACATATTTAATAATTAATGTTTTAGTATTTTAACTTATTTAGGAATGACTCAGACATTTCATTATTATTTAACATGACTTTAAGATTTTTGATTACTGGAAAATAAATAATGACACAGGTACCCTCCTAAATGTCTTTCTCAGCTGTACTGAGTACCCATGTGGCACCCAATGCTTATAAAAGGCAGGGCTCTTTTGGGTCCTAAATTTACACACCAGATGTCAGGACAGAAGACAGGGCTGTGAAAAGGATGTCTGGAGAATCTGACCACTCCCAGCATGGCCATGAGGCAAATCTGGGCCAAGCAAGCAGGAACAAGGGGCCCCGCAGCGGGTGACCTAAGCATTGACAACACGCCTCCAGGCCTCACCGTGGCCACCTGTCCAGACCCCAAAATCCTGAAGCTCAAAACCAAAGACCAGCTTATAATAAGATGTGTGCAAATCTCTGGGGAAGCCCAACAGCCAGCTTCAGCCCACAGACAAATCAAGTAAGTGCCAAAAATATCATAGAAAATTAGCAGTTTTATGACCTTAAAACATGTAAAGACAGCAGAAACCTGTCTGACCAGTAGACCCAGGCAAAAATGTCTGAATTATATTTAAGTTACACTTTTAAAGCCATTTTTATTTTACTTTGTTAACAACTTTAAAACTAGCTTTACCAAATATCATACAAACATAACACATACAGACATAGAGACATACAGACAGGAGCAGATTTGATGGCTCTTATAAAAAAAATTTCATTTGCTGGCTTTTAAATGGTTTCTCTTTTCTTTTTTTAAACATG